ACATCGATTAACTTAGTGTAATACTCCAATGTACAAGGGTGGTTACGTAGGGAGTCGAACAATGTAGTTAGAGTGCACTTCTAAACTGAATACTGTATATTCTTCTTTTCTGCAGCTTCGATACTAATCTGACCGCTTCTAATAATCATAACTTCTCTCCTCTGTTGCTTCCAAACTTCAGCCGATCAACAAAACAACTCTGGTTACAGACAGCGGTACGTCAGTTACACTAAGATAAACTAAGGTACACTTCAGCACGACTGAGTTGCTTAAAAACTATGAATGAGGCATTCATTTGTTTTTCTAAGAAGTAACAACACAAAACTGTAACCGTCTACTTTTAGCTGACCACCACTTTACTTGTAAAATAAATAACATCTTTTGAACTATTTTCCGATGCAGCAAATATTTTTATCAGTCACCAATGTAAGCGAGGCGCATACTTATCTATATTTCTTTTCCGTATAACTTCTACGACTGTTGATATCGTTTTCATTTCGTCTCAGGAAACTTAGACTGCTCGATTAGTGTACTTGAGATGTTAGAAATCAATAGTAAGATATCCCCGACCGATAGCTGCTACCTTGACGTGGTGGTCGGGCTTGCATATCACAATGACCCAACGAGCTATGCTGGTGGAACGCTTGTTCCCTCGAGGTCCTACCATACCAGAAAGGTCTGTTGGGTAGTGGTTAGACGAAAAGCAGTTACCGTCATAGTGTAAATTGCTACACTATGATGGGGGTCTGAGGGCGAAGTCGTACTGCTGCTAGCTGGATGGGGTGTGACAGCAGTAAGGTGTTTCCCTTGGATGACCAGCAGTGCCAAGCTGATGCTGCCTTCTCAGTGGAAGGGGGGGTTAGAAAAGGTCGGCCCCAAAAATAACACACTCCACCACGCCCCACGGTCTGCCGGGCCGGCGGTGTTGGTTCACTTGTCGTTTCCTTTCGCTCATCCGGCCCCAAAAATACAAAAATTCAAAATAATCATACTCAAAAGGCTGGGTGTGACAGGCCTCAAGCAGATGTCCGATGGGCTCTGCGGTCACACAAATCTCTTTCAGGTACCTTAAGAAGAAATAGCCTTCCACGGTGTGGGCAGCCGGGAAGTGTCAACCGCCCTCACAACTCTGTCAGCACCCAAGTTTCTTCTGACTGCTATCCTCCTCCTCCATCATTACCTTCTAATCTTCCTTCACGTCTCTTAATTAATGATGCTGCATCATCTTCAATTTCTCCTACCTCTGCAGCCTTCGACAACGATCTGAGTCCACAGAACAGCATCCCTGGTCTCCTTAAACCACGCTCCAAATTACATATTGGAGCCTTCAATGTCCGCACCCTCCGTCAAATTGGCCAACAGGCTTCGTTGGCAAAGACTCTAGCAACTCGAGGCATGGATGTGTGCTGTGTTTGTGAGACACGCATACAGGACCCAAGTGTGGTTATTCACCTGACCTCTCCTGACCAATCTGGTGAATCTGCAAAATTCACCCTTCGAGTTTCTGGAGATTCGATAGCTAGCTCTCGTGGTCTTGCAGGTGTAGGTATAGCATTAAGCACCAGGGCAGAAAACTCACTACTAGACTGGATCCCAGTTGATAGTCGCCTCTGCGCTATGAGGCTGAACGGCACAGTGAGAACTAAAAGGAATAGTGAGACTCGCCGTTGTCTCTTTGTAATCTCTGCTTACGCACCCACTGACTGTAGTTCGGATGAAGTGAAGGACGAGTTCTACCATAAACTGTCTAACCTCCTCTCGAAAGCCAAACGTTCGGACGTAGTGGTTGTTGCAGGTGACCTCAACGCACAGGTGGGTAGACTGAGTGAGGCAGAAAGGCACTTAGGTGGCACTTTCGGAATCCCAGCTGAACGTACAGATAACGGTGATCGCCTATTACAACTATGCTCAGATAACCGCCTATTTTTAGCCAGCACAAATTTCAGACATAAAGAAAGGCACTGTCTGACCTGGCGTCCACCGAGCTCGACTCAGCGATGGACACAGATAGACCACATTGCTATTAGTCATCGCTGGAGAGGATCGGTGGAAGACTGCCGCTCCTTCTGGAGTACGTGTTTGGACAGCGATCATGCGTTGGTCCGAGCACGTATATGCCTGCGTCTCAATGGACGTAGAAAAAATTTGGCAACAAAACCACTACGAGTTCTGCTGGACAACGAAAACACCAAAGCCGTGTTCAGTGAGAAGTTGGCTAGGCAGTTATCGGAACAAAAGACTGTCACTCATCCAGAAGAAGCTTGGTGCCATCTTCAGTCTACTGTAAAAGCAGCACTGGAGACTGTAGCCGACTCCAAGATAATGGCTAAAAAGAGCCAGTGGATATCAGCAGCTTCTTCCAAACTAATGGATGCACGTGAATGCATCCCTGCAGGCTCTGAGTACAATGAAGAGCGAGCGCAACTTAAAAATAAACTGACGAAAAGTCTGCGCAACGATCGTGAACAGTGGTGGGCAGCAAAGGCTAAAGAGATGGAAAAGGCAGCGGCGATCGGTAACAGTAGACAGTTATTTAGACTTATTAAGGAGACTGGGGGGAAATGGTCAACAACAGTTAGTGAGGTTATAGCGGAGAAGGACGGATCGGCGATTCACTCGCAGGGAAGGCGACTGGGACGATGGGCAGAACACTTTGAGGAACAGTTTAACTGGCCTCCAGCCACCATTGCGCTGCCCGCTATCCAGTCGGACCCTGAATGGGACATAGAGACAGGTCCCCCAACACTAGAAGAAGTTGAGAAAGCGGTAGGTAGCCTGAAACGGGGAAGGGCAGCAGGACCAGACGGACTACCTGCTGAGGTATACAAGAATGGTGGTAGAGTTCTCTTAGTCAGGCTAACGGAAGTGTTAGCCAGTATATGGGAATCAAATACGATCCCCTCCGACTGGTCTAAGTCACTGATCATCCCAGTCTTCAAGAAAGGCGAGAAGTCCTCTTGTGATAACCACAGAGGAATCAGCCTGACAAACATAGTGTCTAAGATCCTAAGTTCTATAATTCTCCGACGCCTGAGTGGAGCTCGGGAACAGCAAGCCCGAGAAAACCAGGCAGGCTTTAGACCTGGCCGTGGATGTATCGACCAAATATTCACACTGCGCCAGGTCCTGGAACATAGGCATGCTTACAGACGCCCGACAATAGCTGTATTTCTCGACCTGAAGGCGGCATTTGACTCCGTTGATCGAGAAGTCTTATGGCAGTGTCTGTCACTGAAAGGCGTGCCTAGTAAGTACATCACCTTATTGAAAGCTCTCTACTCGAACACTTGTGGGCATGTTAGAGCCTATGGTGAGTTGTCCAGGGAGCTATACTCATCAAGTGGTGTCCGTCAAGGATGCCCACTATCCCCATTCTTATTTAATTTTATCATAGATATTCTTATGGAGGTTTCCCTCTCGTCACCTAATTACAAAGACGTTGACCGGATCACAGGTGAATTTTCCTTAGATCTAGAATATGCAGATGACATAGTCCTGTTAGGTGAAGACGCTGACAAGATGCAGAGTCTTCTGAACACTTTGAGTGGGAATTTGAGAATGTTTGGGATGCGATTTTCACCACCCAAATGCAAATTTTTGCTCCAGGACTGGTCTTCAGCGGTACCGCGGTTAACAATAGAGAGTGAAGTGGTTGAGTGTGTTGACCACTTCACTTACCTGGGAAGTAGGATCAACTCCGGTGGGTTAGTTGCCGATGAGATTTCTGCACGGATACAAAAGGCTCGATTGGCTTTTGCCAATTTGCGCCACCTATGGCGCCGCCGTGATATTCGTTTGTCTATTAAGGGTCGCGTGTACTGCACAGCAGTCCGCTCTGTTCTACTGTATGGCTGTGAAACATGGCCATTGAAAGTGGAAGACATGAGAAGGTTACAGGTATTTGACCACCGTTGCCTTCGTAGTATAGGACGTATTCCGTGGTGTCACCATGTGAGTAATGCAGAAGTTAGGTGTAGAGTTTTAGGGAGAAGAGGTAAGTCAGTCGACGAGGTTGTGAACCTTCATCGACTGAGATGGTTGGGACACGTACTACGTATGCCTAGTCACCGATTGCCTCGTCACACAATGTTGGCTGAGGTGGGTTCAGGCTGGAAAAAGGCCCGAGGTGGCCAGACTAAAACATGGCACCAATGTATGAAGTCTCTGACTGTTGGTTTAAGCCATGTAGGACGATGCAGACTAGGTGGTTGGGGTCCACGGGACAAGAGGAACCAGTGGTTGGAGACCCTAGGTGATATGGCTCAGAACCGAAGTCAGTGGCGCAGATGTATACACACATTATCCTCATCTTAACAACGCTATACCGAATCTCACTATTTTGTCACTCCTCTTTCCTTTCTTCTCGTACTTTATATTTCTTTTGACTGCATTCACTTATCTTCATCCTTCACCTCACTACCTTTTTACTTGATGTGCTGATATGAGGTGTGGCAACTCGGACCGTTACGCAGTAATGCCTGGTCCTATGTTGATAATGATGATGATGAGTAAGATATCCTTGCTGATGTCTCAAATCGATTACGACGCCATAGAGGTATTCACCTTTATTAACCTTCAAAATTTGTGGACATTTTTACTAACATTCAGTTACTTAACAACTTACCGCTCGTTCCATTGATTCCCTCTTTGTGCAATGTTCTGCACTGAACTGTCGCACTTAAGTTCGTTGGTACTTCTCCTTCAGTAAAATTCCACTTCAAGTGATGAAATATAAACATGTACGATATTATGCTAAGGTATATGATGATTCTGATCATTTTATAATATACACAATTTGGGCGTAAGTTGAGAGGAACTCGAGTGGAACGTAATTATTGTGAATGGCATCACTTTTGTGGGTTCTCTAAACAAATACTATTAGTAAATAGACTACGAACACATAGCTCTGGGCTGATGAGAAGTTTAGGGACCCTATTGCTGCACAGCACAATCAGCGTGCACCTACCTCGGCACAGTTCCAAATTCAGCATAAAGGCATTCAATAAAAACAACAATCTCATCAGACAAGAACTAGCACGCCATGTTGTAGGATATTAAAAACAGTGAGCACCTTAGTGCAGATTGCCCACGATGGTAAGCGACTATTGTTTCAACAGAAATATACAGATGTTCAAATGTGTTACATAAGGCATTTAAAGAGATATAACTCCGCACTTTCCATCTGTGTTATCAGAATGATTGAGCGATGAATGCAAAACAGGTATGATGAAATTCCGTTAACTAAACAGTGATTAAGAATTTAATTGTTATAAAAACCAGAATAAAAGACAAACTAGGATAAGAAAAATACAACCGCAAATATTCAAAATGGAAGATTTTAGAGTTTTATCAGTCAGAATATCAGATAACAATCTCAAGAAAGCGATAAATTCAAAGTTGAAATGTCAAAATGATCAGAGAGAAATGGTGAATGATAAATACAGAAAGAAGTTGAACGTTTATCCACAATAAATACAGGAGTTTCAGAGAAAATGTTGAATACCTTCAGTAGCTGAACTATAAACGCGAAAATTTCTTAAAACACGTCATTTCACACAATAACATAAAGTGCATAGGTGTAAGAAGGATAAATTTCAGACATTTGAAACAATCCCGATAAGAGTCTAGATTTAATCCCTTTATTGGGAGACAAAGGATAGAAATAAATTAATCTTTTATACATAAGTTGGTGAATACTAAGTCAAATACAATGGAACATATGAAAAGGTAAATGCTTTAATGTAAAAGAAATCAAGACTCAGTAAACTGGGGGAAAGTTCTTTCCGGTGGTTGTATGGCAAACATATGGGAAACTATTGACATTCTTTCTTGTTCGAAAGACACAATCAAAATATGCAAATCTTGGTAGAATAACTGATCCAAACTGTAGATGATTTCCATTAAGGATTCCAATTTCAAGTGTCTAAAGCGATTCTGGGGGAGGATAGTAACAATGAAGAATAATGATGGAAAACGCGTATTCGAATGTAAGCAACCAAACGGTGGAAACCTAGGTTAGCAAACTTTATTGATTTTCATGAGAATGACTGTTTTATGTGGTCACCAGCACTAAAAATTTGCATAAATAAGCTCTGACTTTAGTCATTGATTATACAAGTGATCTTCCCATAAATGTCGTTCAAACTTGATTTTGCAACCAATAATCAGTCCACTTAAATTCAGGCAATCATATTCAGGGAATGTTTTGCCAAGTATTCTAGTCAATATACAACCTAGTAAACTGAGCAACTACTACTACAAAAGTTACTTTCTTCATATCCCATAAAGCATAATGAAGACAACTCAGTTGGTAGAGCACTGGGTAGGAAGCCCAGTGGTCGCTGGTTTGAAACCCGCCACGACCCAAATTTTCAGTTCACCTTCAATCATTAAAAGCGTTATGGTATTCAAAGTTGCTACATGGTCCTAATTCCCCATGTTTCTCTTTTCGAGGATTGACTGACAGATTGCGCTGCAACCTCTTTTCAGTGAATCGACATAAATTTCTAAACTGTTTCACTGATTGGGATATATTTAGATAACTCGGTAAAATAGTTTCATAAGAAAGTCATAAGTAGTTAGTATGGCGGGCCTCTAGTTGCTGCCAGGAAAACGTGATTTCTACTATTTAGTCGACAATAATGGAGAGATAAGCAGCCATGATATCTGTAAGTATATCTCGTATGAAAAAGGATGTCAGTGGTCACAAAAACTCTCAGATGAAAAATCCAGACAAAATAAAGTCACTATAAGATTGAAAACCCTGTCACATTCTGTGTGCGTAGGCCTAACTGAAATCTTATGCGAATATATTCTGCAACCGACAAATATTCACGAAATTAAATAGCGCTTTATCAAGGGGACCATATCCAAGTAATATATTATGTTCGATAATTGTTGTGTTATACCAACAGCATGGACGAGGAAAATTTGACAGCCTGAAATGAATCATGTAAAGTATTTGACAGTTTAGTGCCTCAATATGAAAGTATTTCGGCTTTCCCGGTGTGGATAAGAAGCGCTACATACTCATCGACTGAAGTGGCTTGGACGTGTTGCCCATGCCCAGTCACCGCCTGCCCCGATGTGCCATGTTAGAGGAAGCTGGGCTACGTTAGGACAGGGTGCATGGTGACCAGACTAAGACCCCACACCAGTGTATGAATTCCCTGACCGCTTATCTGAGCCGTGTGTGGAGATGTAGACTACCCGGCTGGGACCTTCAAGACCATAGGAACCAGTGATTGAGAATTCTTTGTGATATGGCTGAAAATCGGCCGCAGTGGAGCAGATGTATTCACTCTTTGACGTCTTCTAGAGCTTGAATTTTTGTACTAATCTTTTTCTTCAGATTGTTTATTCTCTCACACAACTTTGTCTGCTTCGATATCATTCTTTCCTATCCACTTGTTCTTTGTATACCAGTGTAAAGTGTAGCGACGTGAACCCATGCATTTGTGTGCGAGGTTCTACCTTGATTCTGTCTGTCAATGTGCTACATAATTAAAAAACTAACTTGAAGAATAAAGATAACGATAGAATTTAAGGAGTGAAATATAGGTAAAGACCACCTTAGAATATGATTGCAGTCAGTAGATCATCTACAAAAACATGACATGATGGCCTCCTATGTCTAGTGATGATTTCCGTTATTTCGACTGCCCTAATGGCTAGTACAATCCTACCATAAAGTGAGTATAACAGTTAAAGGGGAAGCAAATTTAAATCAAGGAATTAAGTCGCTTGTGGAAGACCTATAGAAAAAGAACTTTCAACATATAAAATAATGCATTTAGCTTTTTTCGACAGCTTCCAATCCATTTCTGATAAAGAAAGGCCATCAACATTGAAAATGCAGAATGAAATAAAGAAAGTTGAATGGTGACAGCTTTTTGTGATATTTTATGTTAGGCTAATATCGAAAGCCAAAGGAATAATGAATTTGGCACACTGAAGAACTCTATATGAGGAACGTTGGTCAACCTAAGCGCTGAAGTCACCTTAGTGAGAAAACTACTGGCCTCAAAACATTACATCTAGGTGAAATCAAAAGGTAGTGAAAATTCGCTACAATCATCTTACCAAACCAATCCATAAATATGAAGCAACTGGATCTGAAACATGCTTTAACGCAACTCTAATTACAATCCAATAAAATTCTAAAAGTGATGCTTGTGGAACACATTTAAGATACATAGCGTGCTCAGAAGTGATAAAAGTTAAGTCATAATTTGGTAGTGGTGGCTAGCAATTGAATTTAAGAGGAGCCTTTCTTCCTCTTTGGGACTGGTCAACTAGATGTTCCTATATCTCAGCAAATAGTGGTGCTTTCAGTGAAACCCGAACCCAGCACCTATTGCTCCAAACTCCAGAGATTTATTCAGTAGACTAATGAGGTAGGATAGTCACCTCTTGTACGACGAGTGTCAGCTATTGTATATTGATCCTTTTAATTTCCCGCTGCTTAACTGGATCAGTTATATAGTCAAGTTACGAAAATTAACTTTCGCCTAAAACACCTTTTTATTCAACTTGTTGTAAACTTTAGAAAAGGTATGAGCATGTTAGGCATTCCTAAGAGTGCTAATTATAACAAGTAAACTGTTTACCGTGCTGAAACTATGCTGTTCTAGTTTCATGCAAATATTGATTAGAAAGAATATATATGTGTTGTTTCCTAATGTAAATAACCCATTAAGACAAACGTACAACTGACGATAACTAGTTAGACTTCAGTTTGCTGTCCGATATATGCATAAGGTATGAAAGTTTTATTATTTGTGCCCATGTATCAGTCCCAATCGTGTGTTATTTGTTATGTGCAAGAAAAATATTTTCACAGAAAAACTTGACATATGAAAAGCTCCCCAATAAATTTAAAGGTATTTGTTATCGTTAGTATCACTACTGCATACATGGACTATTTTACATCTGGAGCATTCCACTGACAGACACACTGTAAGGAAAAACCGAAAGGTGTGTATGTTCAAGTCTATGAAGCAGAGAAATGTATCAGATCGCCGTTTAATACTTATAAAATTCTTTTGTTAGCAAATAGTACAGCATACAACAATGTAAATGTCAGACTTAATATATATGAGTTAAACTTGGGCAATGCGGTAGATTGTAATCCCATTTTACTGTTTTTCATTGTGTGATTCATCTGACAGACAAAACGAGAAGGCAGTTAGATTTAACATTCAAACTTAGGGGGTCTGAAGTGCGCTAAGTTTTACTTCAAGAATAAGCAAAGAGATTTTTTTAACACTACAGGAAAACGAAACTGATACATGATTCAAAGAAAAGGAGAATGAAAAGGTTTGTTCACTGTGATTACAGTTGAGCTTTTATGAATTGCCGTCAATAAATCAAGATGATACTGAGACATGGAATATAACAGGAATGTATTCATACTTTTTTTGCCATGTTTTCGCTTTTCGATGATGTAGCGATTTCCCAAGTTATGGTGCAATTTTCCTACAATAGATGTGTTGTGCACTATTTGACAAGACCATTTTACCATTAAAATTATGTTGGGTAAATTTCGAAGGAAAAATATCTATAATAAATCTTTGGCACAACGATACTGCATAAAGCAAGACTATACTTTTTCAAATAGGGAGTTTCATTCTTTTTTCTTTTGGGGAAATAACCTTAGTTGCAAGTTATTCAAAAAGTACGCTATGGAATTTATCCCTCATAAGTTAACACATACCACTACCACTACTACTGGCATTAAACAACAATGCAGTGAACAAGAGTTGGAAATAATTAACCAAAGTTGGAAAATTCATAAACGATCGCTTATAAAGGTATTATGTAGGCCACGGATTAGGCTTTACCATTTAAGGCTATGCAGTTATTACTGGTAAACAATAGCACGGTCAAAATCCAGACTTGTGCACACACATTCTTGCAGGAGGAAATGAACCACACATACTGTGTGAAGGCTAATGATACTATCTGGCTCCCCAGACCTCGGTAGGTGGAGTAGGCTTCAAACCAGTAACCCACTGGTTGAAGCAATCAGCCACAGCTCCACTAACAGCACAACAGTTTTGATGCAAGCACACTGACACTCACACAATTCTCGTATATGTTTGACTACGTAACGAAACTGAAGGGTATACAAAAGAATCAAGCCTTGGTTATGAGGAGAAAACTTACTATAAAGTATTGTTCTTGTTCTGTATTTGCATTTTTATATGCTCCCACCTCAGCATGACAGGCTACAAAAGACAAGATACATTTCATATTCAAATTATGATTAAGCTCCCATATGCCTAATGATGAGTAGAAAAATTTAAACAAAAGCCGAATTGGCTTTATACACTAAAATTTGTGAAAACATTGTCATAAGCACACTCATGGTTTTCCAGTGTAACTTAGTATAATATTTTATTCCGATAGTCTTCAAGAGATTTCTTAAATGATATCTATGAGTAGTAAGTTGATAGACATGAATATGAACTATCTGTAATGCATATTTCAAGCATCCAAGTACCCAAACTTCAGCCTTATATGACTACCCTCAGCACTGATCACTCAACATCTAATCAGAATATGTGAACTGCTGAACTATCGATACTTATTAGATGTTTACAACTTAGCCAAATCAGACAGTCATTAGTCAAAATTTCTACGAGATACAACAGAAAGTAATATACTGGTCCAATTTAAAAAGTAAAAAACACTTCGCCCAAATTTTTAAGAGGCTTTGTGTGTTTACAACGAGACACCTGGGGGTCATAGGTCTAGACACTCGACTTTCAGCTATGAGGTGCGGGGTCGAACTCCACTCCACCTACCGTGGTATGAGTGTCCAGGGATGTTACTAACCCTCACACAATAAGTTTGGCTCGTCGCGTACTCCATGAAGATAGCTGCTAAGTGCGTTTCGATTTGTCGATATAAGGAGTTGACTCATAAAGTAAGGAAAAAAGAAATAGTATTGCTGAGGTAATATTTTAGCTAGGAATTCAAAATCTACTTCCTAAAACACATCAATAAAGATGAAAAACAACTTAATTCAGTACACTTTTACGTAGTAGGCTATGAGCCGCACTTGTTATTGAAGGGCTTGTGATACAATCTGATCACCAAGGTAGAAATAGGTGAAGTGGGTTTTGGACGTGGGATAAATTGTTTGAAAATCAAATGCCAAACTATGTGAGCCCAAGCTTCCCCTTTGATACACACATAAAACAACGATTCTTAGTATCTCCCAGTATAGTGATTTCATAATGGATAAGTACAAAACACACATACCAGATAAACTGTGCCGAAGGGAAAGTTGTAATTTACGCAGATCTGTAAAGAAACTTTTGCGTTCCACTTCAGGGTCCTTTAAAAGTGAACTAATCCACAGATTCGGATGGTGACGTTGACAATGAGGAATGAGTAAACTAAAAAGGCACAATGATAAGGGTAAAACTTAGGAAAACCTCAAGAGAAATTATCTAAAAACTATATGCTGACCATAAGATGGACAAAAGTATGATTTGTGATTCGTCAGATTAAATCAGTATTCACATCACTAACTTCTGTAGTTGCATCACACCCAACAATATTTTTGTTTGAAAAACAGTTCACAATACATGTGACAGATATGGAACTAGGTAACTTAATAATCTCATCCACTGACTTTCAAAGCGCAACCAAACTGCTGTAGATAACAAATGAGTAGGGAAAAATACAGTTAGATATACACAAAACAGCTTGAAATAAAATCAGCTGTTAGCGTTATCAAGTCTTCTTCCGGTTAACTTTTCATTATGATGAAATCCGGGAATACAGTCTAAGAAACACATTCTCATCATTTATAGTTGTTATAGTGACTTTTAGTAGCCTGTCTTTCACAGTCTTCATCTGAATTGCTTGTAGGCTAGGAACTTGTAACAAGATGGTTCAGGGCTTCATTATCTCTATCTCCATCTGTTAACGAACCTGCTGTCCGTTGATTTTTATGGATACATATTTTCTTCATGACGCTGATCCGCTTCTTTGTAGTGTTATAACTGCATCTGACCTCAAGTTTTTATGCTGATGCCTTTTTGAGTACATCTATGGTTGATTTCGGTGTTTAACTTTACAGTAGTTCTCTGTATGACCTCGTCAAGAACACTTAATGCATCGGTAATTCTGAAACAGACAAAATTTCAAAAAGCGTCAACCAGCATAATGCCAAAATGTTGAAGGTGGTTTCGGCCTACTGTTATTACTTTTTGAATGATCTGTAGCTGTACATCCTTCCTGACTAACTCTGTTAATATTTGGTGAATGAATTGCGTTTTCAACTATTGCTAAGTCATGCCTCAAGTTTATCAGTCTCTGGCACACATTTGTGATTTCCTGGGGCGTTACGTTCGGGCACTGTTCCATCTTAGATACCATCTGCCGTAGATCTTAGACTACAGACGAGAGTAAGACTCTTAAAGTGGTCTTCTATCATCGCTCACACTTTACGGACAATGCAGGCATGTTTCACCCAGTCATCGCTAGAATCTTTTTTAAAGTCCAAACACTGGTATCTAATCCGAAAGAGAGATGATTGCTGTCTAAATATCTGTTAAAGAATTCTAACTGTCTCATTAAAAGTAAAATCTCTAAAATTTTTCATTATTATATTATTTGTCCTTTGGGTTCCCAGTAGAACATAGCGCTTCAGTAGCACGTCTCCATTCCAATCTCTTCTCTGCAGCCTTTTCAACCTAGCTCCACGACTGTCCATAAGCTTTCATTTCTTCCTCACACGATCTCCTTCATGTCACCCTCGGACGTCCAACTCGACGTTTCCCCTTTGGGTTCCACTCGACGGCCTGGCCTGGCGCGTGATATCCCCGAATAGTCTCCTCAGTGTATGTCCAATCCAATTCATCTCCACTTTATTCCTCTGTATATTTGTTGGGCGATAGATTCTTGGTTGGTTCGCTACCAGATCAGAGTTCCTAGTTGCTTATTCTTTCTGGCCATTTGATCTGATCTTCAGTACCGAGTGAGCGTAGGCGACAGCTGTTCATGTATGTCTGTAGTTTGTTGGAAATGCTTTTCGTAACGCGACAAGTTTCTGAGCCACATAGAAGCACTGATTTGACTGAATTAGTGTTGAAAATCCAGATCTTGTTCAGGCTTTATGCTAGGTGTAGTGCAGTGCAGTAGATCTCCACACTGATTATTTTAGGTCGATGAAGGCCTTTCTTGCTGTCTTTCCGATCCTGGCTTTGACATTGTCGTCTGTGCCTGTGCCACCCGTAGTTGAAACGATGCTCCCTTGCCTAGGTAGGTGAAAGAGGCTACTTCCTTTAGGTTCATCCCATTGATGTTGATTGGTGTTTGTTGTTTTGGAATTCTTTGGCAGTAAAAAATTTACGTAACGATCATGTTCTACAGTGGCGAATTTTCTAAAAAGAATACGTAATTTGCCCGCATTATCAAGCAATTTGGGGTCAATAGTGTAACTTAAAATTAAAGTCTTGTATTGAAGAAATGAGAGAATTCTATGTGAGATTATTCAAGTTGCACGGACGTTGATGCAGGTCTTATACCACCCAGCTCTTTAGTAAGTGCCTCATTGATTCTCATGATTGTCTGTTCACTTCTATTATCTTATTGCTCCATCAGTAACTGGATCTGATCAAAAGCAATGCTGACTATAATTCCCGTCGCCAGTTGATATGCCGTTGTATTAGATATAGATAAATATATTACTATATAAGAGTGGACTCTTTAACAATAAACTTAGACTTCACCCTTGATGGTCGCTCGGTTCCTCGAAAACAGAAGTAAGCAGGAAAAAACGATAAAGCTTTATTTTCCACTCGAATATGCACAAAAATTAACGGTTTATATACATTTCTTGATGGTACTTTTCTAGAGAGCCCTTTAACCAATCTGAGTTTCACACGTATGAGCGTGTGGCTTTTTTCGAACGTTCGACATGCTATGATTGACTGTGAAAGCTTATCAAGGATTTCCAAGCTTCGAGAACTCTACAGGATATTGTCGCACTCCCTCATCTTATTTTTTCAATAATATGTATTAAAGGTAGCCGGTTTAAAGTTATCGTGTGGGATACTTCACTGTTCGTTGAAAGAATACGAAAGTCAGCTTATAGGAAGACCCATGAAAACTATTAAGCATTAAAGACTGGTGTGTAACAAGGTAACAGTCTTTTTCAGGACAAAAAATCATCAAAAAGGTTGTTACCTATTGATTTTATTGCAACTCACCTTGTAGAATTTCGAATTGCTATTTTTCGGGTCTTCGCTCAAGGTGGATAAAGAATCGGAATCAAAACAAGTTTTAGACTGACTCGCTTCATCTTGCTTTTTAAATCAAGCCTAATTCGAATTCAGTAGCCTTGACAACGAACAATAATATTAATAATAATGCAATTCAACTAGATACAGGTATATACACAAGACTATGAGCTTCAAGTGGTGTTTGAGGATAAAAGTCTTAGTGTGACAGTCATGGTGGGTTCAGATTGACTAATATTCTGTCCAAGATTCTAAGGACCATAGTTATAAGACACCTAAGTTACATCGACCTGAAAGAATCGGTTGCTGACTGAATTTCAGCTCGGATACAAAAGATCCGCTTCGCACTTTCCAACTTAAGTCATTTCTGGCACCAGCAAGATATCCAACAAACTATTATTAAAGGAATATATTGTGTCATAGTTCACTCTGTCCTATTATACAGCCATGAGACATTGCCACTGAAAGCAGATGTGAATAAATTTCAGATTTTGAACGTAGGTATCTTCGCAGTGTTGCTCGTGTGTGGTGATGGAACCAACGCGTTAGCAATGTCGAGTTTAGGTTAACAGTACTTAGCAAAATAGGCAAGTTGCTCGATGGGATTGTGAACCTTCATCGACTGAAGTGCCGCGCAGGACAAGCCACCACCTAACTCGATGTGCACTGCTAGCGGAAGTTGGAGTAGGTTGGAAGAAATTTCATGATGGCCAGACTAAGAGGTGGTACCAATCCATGAAGTCTGCAATTGTTGATCTAAGTCATGTGGGGAGAGGTAGACTGCCTGCTTGAAAGCCTCAAGACTATAGCAACCAATGGCTGCAAAATCTTGGCGACATGGGTGAAAGGTGGTCACAGTAGCGCAGCTTTATTCCCTCTTCGATACCTCCTAATGCTTGAACATTCTCCCCAACCTTGGTTTTCAAATCTCTTCTCTTCCAATACACTTTTGTCTACTTTGATATCACTCCTCTTCTATCCATTTATTATTATTTACATGGTTCTGGTTGTGGTAACTTGAACCGATGTCTTTCTGTCCTAGGTTACACATTGTTTTTATGTCTGTTTTGAGAGCTTGTGGTAGTAGTTAAGCCCAGCAGGACTTGACCTTTCAACCCTTTGCATGAAAGTCGAATGTTTAAACTAGTGTGCCACATCTCCACACCAGAAGTACACGGACAAAATGATTACAGCTTTATTTACTTGACATACATGAGTTACAACAGCTGTTTTGTCCTAGTCTAGACTAAACGGCTGTTCAGTGCTCCCAATTCTTCAATGGTTCCCCAATTGACGTCAGCTGTGATGGTTATTACCTTGAAATTCTGGTATGATCTTTGTTCCATCAGCGTATAACTGGAAAGAGGTTGATGAAGAGGTAATTAGGAAGAAAGTGTATTCACTCGATCCGACCTAATATCGACTTTTACTTATCACTACTGGTCCTTGGAATAACTGTTGCGGATGAGTGACCATATATAATCGCGCAAAATATAACAAAACCTACTTGGATAACTGTGCTGTTATGACTATTCTAAATACTTACTTTTGGTAGTAAACACCCGCCTGACTTGAATCAACACGTTCCCATCCTAAAGGTATCCATGGGCCAACAAGTGGATGATTCCATGTGGACCGTCTAGTTGAGTCACACGTATAGTATGACCGGCCAAGACTTGACCGTCTTTCAGACCATCCATTTGGTAGAATTAAACGAACGTCATTGTCCATTTCAATTAAGGACTTGACAGTTTGAGATTAGAAAATATTAAACAACAAAGATAGATTAAGAAATTTATCTCAGAATGAAAGGGAGAAAGTAGTTACAAATGTCTACTGGAAGAAATAAAGACGAAGGTTTCTGATAGAAATGTAACGCCTTCAGAACCATGAACTATTTTGAAACGTTGCCTACGCAACATTACGTAAAATATGGTAGAAATTGAGGCTATATATTGGCAAATGGAAGTCTTATGACCTATCATCCAGCTTGCGAAGCGGTAATCTACAAATATAATAAGACATCAGTGAATTCGCCAAGACATATTTTGGCTTAAACAATACTTGATAAAAGGCATTGTTGGTTTATCCTTTAGGTATTGACATAGTTGTGTGTTGTGTTGTGTTATGCATAGCACTATTATTCCCCATCTGACTCAATACCTGTTCAGATCTGTTAAGCCAAAAACGACCACAAAATAGGCTACTTATGTCTTCTATTTTCAAATTACAGGTGGAAATTGAAACTTGGATTCATGGTGGTCCATCTACACTGCACACCAGTGATTGATTTCATTGAGACTCAGTTGTGATCGTCTCCAATCGGATCACATCACTATCTAGGGAGAATTTCAGTTTCTTTTATGATGAAATCAACCACTAGATTTCTTCATCAGAACTCGTATTTGATAATCTGCACTGGAAAGTCTTTAGCTTTCATCAACTAGATTAATCATAAATCACCCTAGGGAGTGAGTTCTGTACAACCATGAAACTAATTTACACGATGAATTCCAGTTAGTTAGTTCGAAAGTATGTTTAAAAAAGATCGTTTTACAGGATAATTATAACCTACTGAGATTTTTGAATAGAAGTTAGAATGATCCGATAAAGCTAATCCGGGTTCCACAGGTAGCTCTGGAGCCAAGTCAAAACTCGATTTAGTATACCTGATTCCTATCCGACTTTGACTGTGATAAGCAGCTAAGTCGTTAGCACTGAACGAATTTGTCATTGGACGTAAAGCTGGTGTTTGTAACACATTATTGTTATTGTAATGTATGAAATTCTGTAGATCAGTTGTTTGTTCTGACGGCATTGATATTTGAGTGTTTCCATTACCCACATAATAATTATCCCAACGGTTATTATTCTGCCGAAATCTTTCGAATTCCGGTGCAATACCACGATCTGCTGCATGATTTGATGAATTATCTGTTTCTAAGGAATATGTAAATCCAGCATTTGCACTGCCAGAGCGCGGAATACAACTTGAGAATCGACTATAACCTGGACGTTGGAAATAAATATTCCAATTGTAATTTTCTGCATGAAAAGGAGAAAAAGTCAATCACAAGATAAATGAACGCAGTGTCTAGAAGCTGTACGAATTACAAAACTGTCCGTGATTAATTTTAAACAAGGTTCATGTCACTTAGGTACATGTAACGCACGTACCGTTTATGGGGCTATGGCTCATTGGTTTAGGGAGGTGATTTTCAACCGGTGGGTCACGGGTTCGAGACCCGCTTCATCTAACGAAGTTTGTGAAGCCGAGTAGTATCATTACTACCCCTTACACATTAAAGCTGGCTCATTGATTACTGCAGGAATTTGCATAAATCTTCTGAGTAAATTTAAATTCGAGATACCATGTATGCATAGGATACAAAACAACAAATAACACTCAGCCTATACGACGAGAAAATCATGAGTAACTATAGTTGAAACAAAAAGAAGAGAAATCTACCAAAACCCTAGTATGGAACCGCTTCATCTGTATTTTTTTTGCAATACCTTCCTTTCCAGAACACTCTCGGACTAATAGTGAATAGTCCGAACATGTGGTGCATTTCTAGTGATTCTGTTTTCCCAATCAGCTGAAGTTTAGGTTTAGACAATATTTTCTGAAATATTTTTTAATTATACAAAACACAGTATGGAGTTCCTTTGGCTATATATTGATCAACAGTGACACAAAGACCATTGGTGCGTGTATGTTTAACCCTAACCCTACTGAGCTGATGTTATTCATTTGAGCTGTAAAAACTGCTCAAGCGGGAAGAAAAATCACTCTGTAAATCGTTTAGTTGAAATCACAGCTGGCTCAGATAATTTAACGCCCCTAACTTGTAGAAGAACCTCACAAGAAGAAAGCAACTATTTGTTTGACTTCGAAAAGTGAGTATAATTTATTCAACCCTTATAGACTAATGAACTAGAGTTATCGAATGATAGCTGATAGCACTACTTTGTTGCTGAAACAAAATAGATAGGACAGGATCCCGACCAACGATCCAACATTTTAATATGGTATTCATCACGGGGACCTATATCAGCTGGAGAATCGCAGAGAACCTGGGGGAACTGGATAACTATTTCATCCTCATTGGAATCAATAAATCCCCATAAACCTCTAAAATGGATCCAACATTTATCTTCAATATTAACATCATGAGCTTACAGTTCAACAGAGACACATCAACAGATATACTGAGAAACCATCTGACATGCTCGTTGAGAAAGACTTTCTATACTGCCAAACTCAGATTAACTTTATTCATTCACCCAATGCTTCGATTATATGTAAGGGATAAGCTAGCTCCCTTGACCATCTCAATGCGTGTTTATCCATTTACCTGCTCCTGTGAAGTAAGGTATATTGGCTGTACTCATCATTCTATTTCCAAACGCATTTCCGAAAATATATCGGCGTAGTTCCACAAAGGAGAACACTTTACAGCTCCATTTTAAAATATTTGATCGATTATGACCATCCGGTAAATGCAGAAAACAATCTCAGTGTCATCTATAGAGCTCGTGCAAATCTCGTAAAAGGTGTATGCCTAAAACTTCTTCAAACTCCTGAAGCCATGGTAGTTAATATTTTGAAGCCTGAATTCTGTGTTATAAAGAAATTTGTCCATTTGGAAAGGACATAACCTATAAGAACATTTTTACCATCAAAAATCTTTTCATTCAGGTCCCCTCACACATCACATTCCTCCACTTCTATAATTCTGACTTTTGCTCACTGTCACTATATTATATCATTTGACTTAGTAACCAAATGTTTATTTCGTCTTAATAAGTCTTCTTCTCATTACTATTTCAAACATTACGCAATTCTTTCCTTTCCGATTTCCTGATTTATAATCAAACCTGAACTTCGTTTAAAATATTTCATGAGACACTCCTTTTCCGTTGCTACGTGAGTAGAAAGTATGCATGCGATTGTACAGTTTGAGAATGATATCGCTGAAGACTAACTCTTCGCTACATGTCTTTTGTTTTACCAAGCTAAGTGTTTACCAAGGCGGCTTAACTCCATAGGCAAAAGCAGATTGAAATCCCTCATATAAACCAGACCGATTGGTTAGATTTTGTGACAAAGTGAAAAATAATCACCGAATCCATGATTCCTGTGTACAGATTTCCTGGAAAAACCAGCGGTTCAAGATTATAAAAGCTATAAGTATACTAATTTAATCATTTCTTCGACTGATGCAAGGGTTGAAAGTAAACAACGAGCGCCTAATTTTCTAATTTGACTAGTTTTCTTGATTTGACAACATACCTTTGCAAGTGTACACTTTTTAGAAACACCACACAAAGTACACTTGGATTCGTATATATGCGCAAATTACATTTCTTAAAGTAATTTAACCCTAACCTACAGTGGTGTACAAGTATAACTGTGTAGTAATCACATCCCTGTATAAAACCTAGCACATTCAGACACTCGCAGATAGGCATTTGCACACACAAGGCGAAAAATGAATACAATGCGAAAAGTAGTCGTAAAAGTTAAATACCACCAACATCGAATTCTATAGAAAAGGGCACCCTTGTCAAAATATTAATGGCATTCATTCTAATCAACAGTTAAGTGTATAAAAAAGCAGAAGTAAAAAGGGAATACATTCAATATTAAATAACAAGTGAATAATTTTTCTCGAGTGAAACAAAATTCTTAAGAGAATACAACGAGGGCAAACAGTTTTTGTAATAGTCCTTATTTCTGGATGTTAAACAAATCATAAAGTTCCAAGTTTTAAAATAAGAATCCTCGCAAAAGACGCCTCCCATGACCCAGTGGCTTAGTAGAGAACGCTTTGGCATTTGAAGCGATGGGTGGTGGGTTCCAGTTTCAGTGGGAACAACACTCACTGGGACCCAGGTACATTTAGGTGACGAGTCCCAAATGGGAAGAAACGCACGTCCTGGACTCCACTGCTAGCTACCATGATGAATACATGAATCCTCACTGTTTCATGAAAAATTAATTTAGCTGTTATCGAATTATGAGCATATTCAGTTTTATGAAGTCGTATACAGCTAAGGTCAGAATTCACTGGCGAAATCGGTAATGGTACTTTACTAGTTTTCCAAATTAAATGTGTTATTGAAAAGGTACACATGATATGCTAGATTTTCTGTAACCTATGTTAATTACTTACTGAAGTAAAATCTTGTGCATAAGAGGAGAGTGTAATATGACAGACTGACAAAATCAACGTAGAACCTCAAACATAGGTGCATCGACTCAAGTTGCCACGCTTCACAGTAGCACACAAAAAACAGATGGAAAGGGAGTGTGATATCAAAGTAGATAAGATAGTGTGAGAGAATAAACAATCTAAAGCTAAGGGTTAGTGTGAATATTCAAACTTTAGAAAATGTCAAGGAGTGAACACATCTGCACCATTGTCACAGATTTTCAGCCATTTCACCAAGAGTTCTCAACCACTGGTTCCTTTCGTCTTGGAGACCCCAACCAAACAGTCTACATCTTAACACACGGTTCAAACCAAAAGTGAGTGAATTCACTAACTAATGCGAGATTGCAACCTGGCTACCCTCAACTCTCTTCCAATCTAATGCAACTTCCCTTAGTATGGCGCGTCGAGGCAGGCCGTGACTCGGCATGCGTAGTACATGTTCAAGCCATTGCAGTCGACTAGGGTTCACAATATCATCAATCGACTTGCTTTCTTGCTTAGCATCCTTCGTTTGACCTCAACACTGCTCACATGGTGATTCCAACTTATCATGTTTAGTAACCTGAATTTTCTAATTCTATTCAAATATGGAAAAATGAATTTCTCAGCAACATTTATGCTAAAATCCTATATCACAGTTAGCTTTGCGTTTCTTAGTCTATATGCACATGAATTTATTTCAACAGATTAAAAGTGATACTGGCTATTTCTAACTAACTGTGTCTACTAAAATATGAATAGAGAAAAACAGACATGACACATTCATAAAAGTAAGGCTTCTTGGAGAAGCTATGGAATACAAAAATAGGCAAATCAGCACAGAACCTTACACAGAAATACATCAGTTCAAGTTGCGACAACATTCAAAGAGGAAGTGTCTTGGTTGTATTGTGTCCTCTAAGCAGGGTTGTTTAATCGTGAAGCTTTCATCGTCTTTCTAGACGACATCATCAGCACTAACTTCAGTATGAAGTGATCTGTCAATATCTCTTCGTGAGTGATTTAGTAGCTTGCTATGACGAAGTGGTTTGTGATTGGTTTTTCCCTTTGATTGTTGTGTCATTGACCGCATACACCAGAGGTTAAGCAGAGGAGCAGCCAACAGGAAAATGTGTACAGTCAATGACAACAATCAGATGAAACAATCAATCACAAACCACTTCGTCATAGCAAGCTACTAAATCACTCACGAAGAGATATTGACAGATCACTTCATACTGAAGTTAGTGCTGATGATGTCGTCTAGAAAGACGATGAAAGCTTCACGATTAAACAGCCCAGCTCAGAGGACACAACACAACCAAGACCATCCACCTGAGCTACAAATATTCTCCACTATTTCAAAGAGGAAGTGTACTGTGAAATAGTGATACTAAAGTGGACAAAAGTGGAATTGTCGCTCCTTGGCTTAGGCATCCAACTCCACAACAATGGACGGCGAGTCCAAATCCTGCTCTACCCAATACAACCTTGGCAAACGGATGTTAGCATAAGCTTTCATACAACAATTGTGTCTCAAAGCAAAGTGTATAAATTTGTTACGAGTTTCACTTTGTTATAAACGAGTTCACTGTAGAAACAAAGATAATCATAAATGGTCAAAAATTTGAGGAATATAATAAGTGATTACATCTAGACTTTTGTGACTAATTTTGAGACAAATTGTCAGTTCCCAAACATTAGTTCTCATAATCTTAAGAGCCCCAGTGACGCAATCTACACACCACTAAAAGATTGACACCAATGGTCAGAGACTTCATGGATTCATGGGATGTCTCTATCTAGTAGCCCTTAAATTTCTTCAAACCTTATCCTACCTCAACCGACATTTCCTGTCAAGGTGGGAGGTGGTTCAGTTCAGCAAGTCCAAACTATGTTTAAACCACTTCAATTGGTGAAGGCTTATAACCAGACCGACTGACTTGCCTTTCTTGCCAAGTAGTCCACACACAATCTCCAGGTTGCTCACTCTGTTGTTCCAGCCACCATAACTCGCCGGATTATTGAGATGCACGAAGCTGAACATCACGTTAAGGTAGCAACTGACAGTCAGGAGAATGATTCCAAAGAAGGATTTCTTGAAGAAACTTAGTGATAGGATGGATAACTGAGAAAAACTTTCATTTCTCAGAAATAAATGTATTTTTTTCATTTCAAAATGCAATATGAGTAACAAAAATGATCATACATGTTCAGCAGTGGAAAGCTGAACACTTCAACCATAACACCACTGAGTGCAGTACTAGAGGAAATGAACTCGAAATTAGGAAAACGCATCAATAACTTTGAAGTTTGAGATATGTGTTGGTGATTAGTTAGCAAGTGGCATAAACCCTTAGTTTCTCTTCTGCTTATCACAGCTAACATCGATCGGTTTCAATATTTTGATCTTTGTTTTATGATTTAAACTTTAAATAGTATCGTATTACTCCATGCTATATCAAATCAATAAATCCAAAATGGAAAAAGGAATCCCATCAGCATGCCAAAGTGTCATAATTTTGTCCCTACTAATATGATTTTATAGTAGAAAAAAGTGATACTTTGATTTGTCACTGAAGAGTGCCAAATTTCATATTATCTAGTCTTGAATGCTGACCGAATTCTACCGGTCACTTTTACAATGTGGCCACTAGGCTAAGAAGATAAACACAGCGGCTCATTTAGTTGGATTTCAGTCAATTGGAGGCAACAGACAGGGAAGGATGCTCGCTGGCACTTGTTACTAAGGTTAATCTGTAACCTCGAGGAGACTAATGTCCTATCCAGGGTTCGAAGCTATGTCACCTAGCATTATTTATACTCAGAGACGTTACCACCGAGCTATTCGGACCACCGCACCGAAAGAGAGTAACCAATTTCGTACTGCCTAGGCCTGAATGTTGACCGAGCTCTATCGATCAATTTGCAATGTGGCCACCTAAACAAAATACTCACTATTAGGACTGACTTAGATGCATGCTAGTTGGTTGGAGCCAATCAGCTAGTGCCAAAAAGCACAAAGCTTAGGTCCGGAACTGTTTCTCTGCCGATAGCCACCAACCAACTAACAGAACAAGTAGTTGATCAGAAAATTTAAATGTTTTATTTTTGCAAACTAGTTCATCAGTAATAAGAACTAGAGTAACCTCGCCTAATTTACTAGTTCACTAGAGGGTCCTAAGCCCGGATAAAGAGGGGAGCGTGGGCGCAAAGCTAGCAACCACAACCCGGAAAACAAATCCAACCGCTAAAGAAACTTCAAAGCACAAACAAAATATGAAAAATAAAAACAAAATTATTCCTCTCTGGAATCGGAGAGGCGAAATGACGCCGGTTGGTGAAAGCCTTCAAAAAGCCAATTGGTCGATGTGTCTTCTCTTCTCTCGATGAAACCAAAAGTAAGCATAGGGACATGGAAGTCCGCACAATGTTTGAAGCTGGCTGACAACGCTGCCCAGATTGCAAAAGAGATGAGAAGGTATCGCATTGAAGTGTTAGGAATCTGCGAAAGCAGATGGAATGGAAGTAGACTCTCCAAACTGTCAACTGGAGAGGAGTCAATAATCTAACCCGATATTGTCACCCAGACTACAATCACGAGCACACTGAGTTTTGGAGTGGCTATCACGATGTCACCAAGAGCATCGAAGGATCTCATGCAGTGGGAACCAATCTCCTCCTGCATCACGATCACGACAGCAAGATTCAACTCAAAAGAAAGGAAAGTCACAATCATACAATGCTACACTACGCACCTACAAATAATGCAGAGGAAGAGAAAAAGGAGGAATTCCATAGACAACTAAAATAAGTAATTGACAAGACCCCACCTCAGTTGGCATTATCAAAATCCTAATGGGCGACATGAATGCCAAACTGGGAGCAGACAACACAGGAGGTCAAAGCCAGGATCGGAAAGACAGCAAGAAAGGCCTTCATCGACCTAAAATAATCAGTGTGGAGATCTACTGCACTGCACTACACCTAGCATAAAGCCTGAACAAGATCTGGATTTTCAACACTAATTCAGTCAAATCAGTGCTTCTATGTGGCTCAGAAACTTGTCGCGTTACGAAAAGCATTTCCAACAAACTACAGACATACATGAACAGCTGTCGCCTACGCTCACTCGATACTGAAGATCAGATCAAATGGCCAGAAAGAATAAGCAACTAGGAACTCTGATCTGGTAGCGAACCAACCAAGAATCTATCGCCCAACAAATATACAGAGGAATGAAGTGAATATGGATTGGATTGGACATACACTGAGGAGACTATTCGGGGATATCACGCGCCAGGCCAGGCCGTCGAGTGGAACCCAAAGGGGAAACGTCGAGTTGGACGTCCGAGGGTGACATGAAGGAGATCGTGTGAGGAAGAAATGAAAGCTTATGGACAGTCGTGGAGCTAGGTTGAAAAGGCTGCAGAGAAGAGATTGGAATGGAGACGTGCTACTGAAGCGCTATGTTCTACTGGGAACCCAAAGGACAAATAATAGAAAATGAGAAGAAGAACTAGATTACCATGCCAATTATCTGAGAACCAAGTACGCCTAGTGATAGATCAGCAGCAACGTGGTTGATTATGCTGATGGACAACAGAAGTTCACATATCCCAGAAAATGTACACATTTGTCAGTTTACAAATATCTCCGTCTTAAGGGATATTAGCAAAAACACTTCTTGATAGTAGTATGCGGTTTAAGTTTCTCATCCTCACTTACTTATCAGTGAGTTCCCTCTTCAAGAACTGAAAAACTAACTAAAAATAATACTGTTACCCTTAAGTTCACTTTGAATGTATTTCCTTTAAATAAGAAGAGAGAATCAGTGATGAAAAACGTACAGGTTGGTTTATTCACAAACCAACAATGTACGCTAAAGTTGCTGTGTAGGCCAAAGATGTTAACACACACAAAAGAAAGGTTTGGCATAAATCCAGATTGGTAGTTACACTTGATGATAATACTACGAACAATATTGTAACAACTGAAGGGCTCAGAACTTCAATTGTACAAGGCGTCACGGTTTAATTATAGATAGGTACAGAAGGTAACCGATTACAATGGCGGCTTCCTTTTAAGCAAATTGAAAGGTGTTTGGTTTGAGCACTATCTATTGTGAATGTTTACGAAAGTATGTGGATTTCGTAAGTAGCGGGTATTACCGGAATTTCCAACGAAAACACCAAGACACTATATTATTTCAGCAAAACGTCTAGTTTACTTAAAATATCATGCATATTAGGATGACCAATTTGCAAATGATTTGCAAACTGCATGGTCCACACTGACATTTCTCACAGCTGAGTAGCTTTTCAACTACCACTCAACAAGGTTTCCGTTGGAAACCCCTCAGCCGAGATCATCAGATGTGATCTCTGACCCAAACGTGTCATGAACTAGCGAAACGGCCGTTCAGTGTTTAGATCACTCTGATCTGGCTGGCAAAATACCACAGATCAGCCTGAGTGGTTTCTTACCACTTATGTTGTTCAGTAGTAGTATCCATCATGAACATTAATTCACTTACGACTTTCGTCTTTTGAAAACTAACTGATATGCTCCCTACTACCACTAAATTTGAAAGGGATTTCATGATATAACAAAATATACCTGAGATAAAAAAGAGCAGTTGCTTGAAAGTTCCAGGAGACGTAAGTAAGGAATACTTAGAAGAACTTGACTTTGCAATACATTTACATCTTGTAAAAAAGAAATAGTAGAGTAAAACGACGCAATCAAAACACTCAAATTAATAGTGTAACATACCTGGATTATTATTGTTAGAATACGAGAAGGGATCGCAACGGACAGTATTCATACAAGGAAAATAGGGATGCCCAGGTGGAGGTGAATACACGCCCGATGGTCTATAAAACATGTAGGAATTCGTTGGAATTCTATCACTATAGTTACAGTTTACATTGGCGAATCTTTTCATTCCATCCATATTTGTACATGCACAGAAACCACCAGTTACCCCAGACGGTGGTAAGGGATTTTCTGTAGATTGTGGTTCATAGGAGACAAAAGGACAGCCTTCAGATAAAGGAGATGCATAAGTGCCTTCGACTACATGTGCATGGTTTGTGTCCATGTAGCACAAATGTGCTGCTGTTGAGTAGCTTGAAGGGGGATTCATCTATGCATTGCAAAAGAAAATAGTTTAATAGGATTGAAAATGTGAAATAAAAGATCCAGACAAAAAAAGTTAACTAGTAATTAACAGTAAGAAAGAATAGTTGAAAGATTAAACCATACTTTAAAAAGTTTTCTTGATCATTATCCAGAAATATGTTTCTGGATGAATGTTATGGTTTCCCGCAGTAGATCTCTACATCTTTCGATGTTACGTATAATTCAGTCCAGTCTACTAAACCACGACTATTTCAGATAGTTAGAATGACAGTCAATATGATGCTCGCCCTTGCTAATTCAGTTAGATTTGGATTTGAATGAGAAGTCCTGATTGGGTAGCCAGTGTGAGTACGATCAAGCGGTAGTAACGCGTCACTATTTCACATGGTAGTCAGGTAAAATTCCACTTGTGATTGAAGTGAAATAAAAATCTGATCAGCAGTGGGGCCTCGTACCTCAGTTGGTAGAGCACCAGACCGAAAACCCAGTGGTCGCTGGTTCCAATCCGATGGTGGTCCAAATTTCCATTTCACCTTTAGTCATCACCTAGTACAAATACTGGTCTGCCAAATCACGGCTATCTCAGAGAGTTAAAATGATAAGATAAATTTATCCCAAATTAGTATTCTGGTAATGGATACAATCTGGTAATCACTGAAAAATTCACATGTTAGAGCATAACTTTGTATGAGTTAGTAACATCAAATAGCCATCCTTAACAAAATAAACCGAGTAGGATTTTGATTTTTTTTTGACGTAATTTACGAAAAGAAATTGCCGCAATCACCGGACTACCAAGTTGTGCACCCTCCTAACTATGCATTCGGATTCATTTGTTTTAGGCCGAAGCACAAGGTCTTCCCATTGTTTAAGAGAGGCGAGGTATCTTTCATCCCTGGCAAAAAAGAAAATCCCTACCACTAAGTGTCTCTGTAGTAACAAGCACTTCGTAAAATCTATTTTTAGCTATTTTTTTTCATAAATTTACGTCTCACCTTGAAAGTATCTGTTCAGTACAGTAAAAGAAACCATACAATGATATAAAATTGAGAATAATCAAGCAATGCATATCTATTTTGTATAGAATCTTCCTTAACTCATCGCTCTGTTGTTAATTATGAATTGATAACTTTTATTTCTGCTAATATATTTAAAACATATTAGTCATTTATTACTTTCAAAGACTCAATTCCATTTTTGACCGTTTACAGCTGAAGAGGAGCTGTAAAATGAAGTGAACTCATCTCATTATGCGAATATTTTCACCTTTGATTCACTCAGTTATCATGAAAACGAGATGTATAAAGTATGCATACACCCATTAAAGTGGGAAAACAAAATCAGAAAAACACCTGCAAACTTGTGAATAATATTACTGCTCCCAACAGAAATTTAACATAATACCTTATTACTCTGGAATATATCTTTATGAAGTCATTTTAATATCAAAAATTTGAACTCGAAATAAAAGCAAAGGGACAGAGAAGAGGAAAGATGAGTCAACGAAGCAATACCAAATAAAACTTGAAACACTGGAGGATATATACATATATATGATGAACATCGCATAATTACAGCACTATCAACTGCCTCACTCAGTGATGAAAGATTATCATACTGCTGCTGCTACTACTATTGCTATCACTACACAGGCATACACAAATACTTCATAAGGCATACTTTTTAAAACAAACACTGGACAACAAGAATGTCCACTCAGTAACTTACCTAATATAAGATGAATTGTCTCTGAAGAATCTAGGGGAATCAACACCGAGATCAAAGTGTCATGAAATCAATATTTGCATTACAAAAAAATGAGAGAAAAAATATTACCAACCACTGAAAGGCGAATTTTAGATTTAAGTGAACCCTAATCCAGAAAAAAACGCTAAGCACGTCGAATACAGATTACTTTGGCAATAAGTTGATAAAATGTGGATTCGCAGTATTTGTAAATCAATGCTAGGCTTTGTTTAATCTTACCCAAAGTATAAAAAGTTACGCAACATTTTCAAAACAACTTAATATCTTACCGCATAGGATAAAGGGGTGACTAAACGATTCATTTTGTGTGCACAAACTGAGAAGTCAAGACAGAATTGCTGTTGTAGTTGTTGTGGTGTTGGTGGTTGTTGATATTGTTTTAAGTGCGGATAGTAATAATGATGATATGGATAGTGAGAATAAGATGGGAGTCTCTGAGGAAACATATGAGAGGAAACATACCACTGATACCAGTTTGGAGGCCAAGGAGTCACTTGACCTGCTTGAGGATCAGAACAATGAGTATTACTAGAGTCCGTGTAGCAGTTCATATGACTGATGTTGCCTTCTGGACTTCCAGTGTAAGAAGAAGCACAATTCATGGAGGGAACGGGCAGGTATCCACTGTTATGTGAATTTACAGTATTACTTGATGGAATGAAATCACCATGTTGGCTAGATGCAGAAGCACAAGTTATTCCAGTTGCTACCGTTCGTTCTTCTGAATTTTTATCTGTTTGTCCTGATCAACATGGAAAAAGAAAAGATTCAAAAAATAAGCGAAAACTATGGATGTTAGCAGATGAGATATTCAAAATACCACAGGAATTATTAGATCTTAAAAGATATTTCTTATTTAATCTGATCATGCCCGTCCCGTTTCTAGTTCAACTCAGGAACACTTTTAGATGGTAAAATGTGCTAAACTTTTTTCATCTTAATTATGCTGAACACTACTACTACCCATCAATGCTGTATGGTTCGATGAACAATGAAAACTTATCACCTCAAGAGAATGAATGATTATTCACTGGTCGTAAAAATTATTAGCCTATTTAGGAAACTAGGGGTAAATAGGCGTCCAGGATAAAAGGTATTTCGATTAACTAATTTTTAATCCACTACAAATTCATAATAGCACAATCAATTACTTCAGGAGCGCATGAACAGCGTTTGTCCGTCCTATAATGTTAATTTAGATAGTCGTATCTCAGTTATGCCACAGAAAACCAGTGCCCTGAGGTTAGTTATTAGTAGCTTCAAAATTCAGCGCTTAGCAATTCTTCAAAATAAGAATACAATATGCATACCACGATTAAGCAAACTTCCAGGTTAGTTCGCACATTAGAGGCACCTAACAGTAATGCGGTGTTTACACAGTGTAACAGTACGTAGCTTGGTGGTGAAACTGTAAAGGGGGGGAGGTTGGGCATAGGGCTAGCAACCCCAACCCGGAAAACAAATCCAACCGCTAAAGAAACTTCAAAGCACAAACAAAATATGAAAAATAAAAACAAAATTATTCCTCTCTGGAATCGGAGAGGCGAAATGACGCCGGTTGGTGAAAGCCTTCAAAAAGCCAATTGGTCGATGTGTCTTCTCTTCTCTCGATGAAACCAAAAGTAAGCATAGGGACATGGAAGTCCGCACAATGTTTGAAGCTGGCTGACAACGCTGCCCAGATTGCAAAAGAGATGAGAAGGTATCGCATTGAAGTGTTAGGAATCTGCGAAAGCAGATGGAATGGAAGTAGACTCTCCAAACTGTCAACTGGAGAGGAGTCAATAATCTAACCCGATATTGTCACCCAGACTACAATCACGAGCACACTGAGTTTTGGAGTGGCTATCACGATGTCACCAAGAGCATCGAAGGATCTCATGCAGTGGGAACCAATCTCCTCCTGCATCACGATCACGACAGCAAGATTCAACTCAAAAGAAAGGAAAGTCACAATCATACAATGCTACACTACGCACCTACAAATAATGCAGAGGAAGAGAAAAAGGAGGAATTCCATAGACAACTAAAATAAGTAATTGACAAGACCCCACCTCAGTTGGCATTATCAAAATCCTAATGGGCGACATGAATGCCAAACTCGGAGCGGACAACACAGAAAGAGAACTAACCATGGGTCGAGAAGCGCTCGGTGAGGTGATGAACGAGAATGGAGGATTGTTTGCAGAATTCTGCGCATTCAACGATTTGGTGATTGGAGGCACTGTGTTCAAGCACAAAGATATCCACAAAGCGACATGGATTTCACCAGATGGACACACTAAAAATCAAATCGACTTTATCTCAATCTCAAGAAAATGGAGACGCAGTCTACTTGACACAAGGTCAAGAAGAGGAGCAGATGTAGGCTCAGACCACTCACTGTCTAGTGCAAGGAACCTTCCAAATCAAGTTAAAAGCCTCCAAAGAAGTTGGCGATAGACCACAGTTGAAGTACAACACTCGGAAACTGAAGGATGAAACTACAAAGGACATCTTCACGTCAGCCATCAAGACAAAATGGGAGACAGCGAGCAACATCCCTGAAGAAACCTGTGTGGAAGAACACTCAAAGTCTTTGAAAGAGATGTGGAAAGAAACCTGCACAACCGTATTAGGAAGGAAGAAGAAAGAAGATAAGGAATGGATCTCGACGGATACCTGGAAGCTGATAGAGAAGGGAGAGGAGGATGGTGAAACAGAAGATAAACCAGTACAAGGATGCTCAACGACAAGAGGAACTGAGCACAATGTATAAAACACTGGACAAAGAAGTGAAGAAGAGTGCACGGAAAGACAAATGACACTTCCACGACACACATTTGCAAGTGAAGCAGAACGGGCTGCAGGTAGGAGAGACCTGACAACATTGTATCAAATAACCAGGTTGCTATCTGGGAAGAAATCAACGCAGACGAAACCAATAAAAGATGATGACGGAAATCTAATTACGAAAGAAGAGAAACAAAGGAAACGATGGGCCGACCACTTCAAGAAGCTCTTGAATCGACCACCACCTGCACTTCGTCCAGAAATACCACCTGCAGCCGCTGAACTACAAGTGAACATAAATCCCCCAACGAAAATGGAAGTCCTGAACGCCATAAAGCTACTGAAATGCGGGAAAGCAGCAGGACCAGATGGAATACCGCCAGAAGCACTGAGAACAGACGCAGAGACAACAGCAGACATGCTCACACCACTATTGCAGAAGGTGTGGAAGGAAGAGAAGGTACCTGCAGATTGGAAGAAGGGTTACCTCGTCAAACTGCCGAAGAAAGGAGACCTCAGTGTTTGCAAGAACTGGCGCGGAATCACTCTCCTCTATCCACCCCAAGTAAAATATTAAGCCGCATCATCTTGGAGAGGCTAAAGGATGCACTGGATTCAAAACTACGACCGGAACAGGCAGGCTGGATTCAGGAATTACAAATCATGTGCGGACCAAATTGCAACGCTACGCATCATCTCATCATAGAACAGAGCATAGAATAGCAGTCAACCCTCTACCTCAACTTCATCCACTTTGAAAACGCCTTTGGCAGCGTCGACCGAGGGGTAATTTGGAAACTGCTTCAACACTACGGAATACCTCAAACTTTTATCAACTTCATTTAACAACTACATGAAGACGCCATATGCCAGGTAATCCACAGTGGGAAGCTCAGTGATGCCTTTGAAGTGAAGACAGGAGTGAAACAAGGCTGTCTACTATCACCCATGATATTCTTGATTGTGGTCGACTGGACTGGATCATGCAACAAACAGTGAGGAGCGAGAAGAGGGGGATACGCTGGCTGGACAGCGGAAAAGAACCTAGAAGATCTGGATTTCGCCGATGACTTGTGTCTAATGTCACACAAACTTGAAGATCTACAGGCGAAAACTAACAAGTTGGCAGAAGAGGCAGAGAAGACGGAACTTCAAGTGAATGTAGAGAAGACAGAGGTGATGAAGATACTCAACTAACAATAGCAACAACAACAACAAGCTCTAATCACTATCAACAGGAGAAAATTGAAGGAAGTAGCCTCTTTCACCTATCTAGGCAGCACTGTTTCAACTACAGGCGGGACAGATGAGGATGTCAAAGTCAGAGTCGGAAAAGCAACACAGGCGTTCATTGGCCTGAAACCAGTGTGGAGATCTTCTGCACTCAGCATGCGGAACAAGATTCGGATTTTCAACACCAACGTCAAGTCAGTGCTTCTGTATGGTTCAGAGACTTGGCGCGTTACGAAAAGCATTTCCAACAAACTACAGACATTCATCAACAACTGCTTACGCTGGCTCCTTACTAAAGCTCAGATGGCCAGAAAGAATAAGCAACAAGGAACTCTGGTCTGGTAGCAAACCAACCAAGAACCTACCGCTCAATATATATGCAGAAGGAAGTGGGGATGGATTGGGCATGCACCGAGAAGACCGACTGGGGACATCATGCGTCAGGCCCTCAAGTGGAACCCAGATGGGAAGCGACGAGTTGGGCGTCCGTAGGTGACATGGAGGACATCGTGCGAAGAAGTGAAAGCTTCTGGGCTGTCGTGGAACCAGGTTCAAAGGTTTGCAAAGAAGAGAGTGAAATGGAGACGTGCTACTGAAGCTGTATGTTCCATTAGGAACCCAAGGGACAAATAATAATAATAATAGTTGCATTATCTACTACCCAGTGACAGATTCATGTGCATAATCAAGTTCAACAGGAGTAATTCGTGACAAGAATAGTTTCGTAGTAACATTCCCAAATGTGGCTGTGGCTCAGTGGTTTAGGGAGATGACTAATAACCAGTGCGTGACGGATTCGAGCCCCGCTCCACTTACAGAGGTTTGGGCGGCCAGGTAGTATCACTAGCCATCACACAATAAGTGTAGCTCACTGCCTACTGCACAGTTGTGTACAAGGTGACTGAGTGCATTTTGATCATTCGTTTTTCGTCTCTAACTTGAGTACTTTTTGGTGCAGACTTGAATCTCTAGGGTAATATGTGTTGTCCCATGGCTGCAAACATGCTTAGTTCATGATTGCCAACAAGTATGAAACGTAAGCCCAAGGCGTTCTAACAGTTGAGTCCTAACATCTAAAAACAAATAGCATTATTTACTAAGTGGTGTGCAAACACACCTCTTTGTTTGTTTTCACTATATGGGACTACTTTTATGAATATACAAGTTGAATACCGATCAAGAAATAAAAGGCTGCGGTAAGAGTACTGATACCTAGATTCAACGCACTAACTCATTACAGCTGAACGGAAAACATCGCTAGTTCAAAAGAGAATGAATATTAGGATATGGGATTGCTGGCTGACTGACTGACTAAACAGTGGACACGCTATAGACAAATAAACTCACTTAAATATATGGGGTGAAAGGCAAATCAGTTGATGAGGCTGCGAACCTTCATCGACTGAAGTGGCTTGGCATGTGCCGCGCAGGACAAGCCACCACCTAACTCGATGTGCAATGCTAGCAGAAGTTGGAATAGATTGGAGGAAGTCTCATGGTGGCCAGAATAAGACGTGCTACTAATCCATGAATTCTGTGATTGCTCATCTGAGTCATGTAGGGAGGTGTAGAGAGTTTGATTGGGGTTCCCAAGACGACAGGAATCAGTGGTTGAGGACTCTGGGTGAAATGGCTGAAAATCGGTCATAGTGGTGTAGCGTCACACACCTCCCCAAAATCAATAGCCTAGGGTTTGACGACTTTCGACATTGATGCTGACCTTGATAGTTTAACTGG